TCCAGAACGAAGGCTGCATAGTGGAGTGGACCTGGGGAGAGGGATTGTAAAATAATGGGGGAACTTTTACTTTTCAAAGAGTACTGGGAAGGGAGGCAAGGGGCAGGGAGAAAAGTACAACAATGAATGAATGGAAATTCAAAGTCTGTAAATTTTCATTAAAATTGCTAAAAAGATTTAAAAAAAAAAAAGAATATCATTTCAGACATGGATTTTACAGATAGAACACTTAGACACAAAAATGACAAAGTTCTACCTTTGGCTCATCTCTTAAACATCAGATAAAAAATACTGGTAATTTCACACCCCTTACAGCAAGCCCTGGGGCCTTTGCCTAAGGCTGTCCCTGACTTACCTGCAGAGTCAGTCTGCAGCACTGTGGTCACTTCTCTTGGACTCAAATGATTAACTTCACTACTGCTGTAGCGGACAGGGGTTTCCTCATGTTCTACTGATTTGGCAGGTAGAAACTGCTTCATTCCTTTCCACCAACCTTCATTGGGTTTGGAAAAAAAAAAGGGGGCCATTAAAAACTTCTGTCCCAAATGATTATCAAAGAAGAAATTCTGTTGCACTTAAGCCATTTGTATAACAAAGTATTGATAATAAAGTAGCCTTCATATTCAAGCTTATTTCTGCTTTGATGGAGTATCTAGTGCAAAGCAGAACATGGTAGAATTTCTAGGAAAAAAAAAAAGGACCAGCAGACTTAAACCAAAAATATACCCTCTAAGTCTTAAAACCAAATAGCACTTTACCTTAAATAGTAAAAAAGTTTTGAGCTATATGCTTTTTAGATCTATTAAGGATCAAAGCTGATAACAGCAACTCTAAAGATTACATGGGAACCTTAGGCGAAGTAATATAAAAGAGGGTGAGAAATGTACATATTCAATAAAATGTACACTGAATTATACATGTAGAAAATGTTGACTTGGTATCTGTTCACAATAACAAACGAAATAAACTTTAAAGACAATTGCGGACAAGCAGAAGTAAATCCTATTAAAGTACCACCAGGTATACATGTCTGCTGTAGGGACTGTTTCTAGTTTTTCTCTGAAAATGTTCTCCGACTTCCACACTTGGGCAACAGCAGCACCATGGTCTGCCCTCACCACTGCCCTTCATGCCCTGGTCACAGCAGAGAAGTCTCTCCACTCACAAGAGTAGTTCCTGTACTGAAACTGGGAAGTGGGAGACCTTTTTAGGGACCTTTTGGAGCTTGGGTGCACTTCTGCCACACAGTGTACATACATTCAGAAGATGGCAACTTAATCATGGCAGAGATGTCACTTCGGACAGATTCATAAACTGCTGCACGCCGGCTGATAATCATAGGAAATGGAGGATCTCTGCCACTGGGACCACTTAATAAGTGGTAAATTGGAAAGTAACTTACTTCACACTGCATATGTTCTGTTCCTTTTTCTCCTGCAAAATGTGTCTGGGTTCTCCTGCATATGTTTGTCTAAAGGAGACCAGCTTTACAACATAGGTTAACACTAGGTAAGAAGCAAGTAAGCATGGTCCCAGCTGTACTCCAAGTGCAAATGGACCCAAGGATGACTTTCTTACATTACTGCCACCTGGCGGTACAGGGACACTTCTTGTCTGATAAAGATGGAAAGAGCACAGAAGTTACCTGCTCGGTCCCAGTAAGGTAAGTCATAGGTGCCTTCAGTTTTTTTCTTTCTGGAAAAATATTGGGGGAGGGAGGGTGGATGTTAGCATAATAGAGTCAATCTCTGGCAAGAAAACTCTGAAACTGCAGAATAAACACCAATGTTAATTATTAATCAAGAGCATGCACTTGCACTTGCTAATCTGTCCTGGCAGGCTGTTGTTATAGGTGCCCCCAATTCGTTCTGACTCTCAATGACCCTGCAGACAACAGAATGAACACTGCCCGCTCCTGTGCCATATTATAGTTGCTTGTGTTTGAGCCAGTGGTTTAGCTACTGTGTCAACCTGTCTTTTTGATGGCATCCTTCCCCCCTTTCATTTTTCTCTTGACTGATTCGCTACTTTATCAAGCATGCTGTCCTTCTCCAGGGACTAATCTCCTCTGATAATATGTCCAAAGTACATGAGCCAAAAAGATCTCTATCCTTGCTTCTAAGGGGTATCTCAAGTGTATCACCACTTCCAAAATAGATTTTGTTTATTCTTCTGATCATCAAAAGTATATTTAATATTTTTGCCAACATCTTAATTCAAAGTATCAATTTTTTGGTCTACCATAGTCACTGTCCAGCCTTTTCAAGCAAAATGAGGTGACTGAAAAATATTATGAGTTGGGTCAGGCAAATCCTCAAAATGACCCCTGTGTTTGTTACCATTTTCAGGAGGTCTCTGGCAGAACATTTCCCAATGCAACAATATCTTCTGATTTCTTAACTGCTGCTTCCGTGGGTTGTGATTGTGGTAAAATAACTGACAACTTCAATCTTTCCCCCCTCTATCATGATATTGTCTGCTAGCTCAAAGGTGAGGAATTCTGTTTTCTTTATGTTGAGATGTCATCCATAGTAAATGCTCTAGTCTTTGATCTTCATCAGTAAAGTCTTTGTGGGTGTATGGATATTCTTACTGGCAGTGCTGTATTACAGGACAGATCTTGAAATGTCCTTTTTTGCAACAGAAGTGATGATAATTCTCTTTTGTCATTCCCTGACGTGGTAGATCATCTGCCTGATTCAAAGTGGTCAATACCAGTCCATTTCAGCTCATTACTTCGGCTATCTATCTTCAAATACTCCCTTTCAAGTTTCCTGGTTTAAATGCTGTATGTTCCACATTTCTTGTCAATTTATTGCAATGTGGTGGTTTCCATATTTCTGTGAAGCTATGGCACCAGAATTTCAAACACCAAATGGGTAACCCATCATGATGAGGTCTCAGCAGAGCTTCCAGACAAACTCAGGCTAGGAATGAGAACCTGGCTATCTATTTCATAAAAAATTAAGTAAAGTTTAAGAGATCTTCATTTGCTGATAAGCATAACTCAAAACGAGAAAAAACAACTGCAAACATCCATCAAGAACTGAACGGTACCCAGGGGAGTCCTCCATTTGACTTTCAAAACGGCCACTGCTGAGGTACATGAATTCTAAACCGTCAATAAACAGTCCCTAACTACCTCCTGAGAAAGGTACTTTACCTCTTGAAAAGGGCTAATGGGATAAAAATGGCAAGGTCTGTAAAATGAAAGGAATGAATCAAATCAAAGGGCTAACTGTAACATGAGGGTGATTATAGGCAAGCTGGTGAAAATGATGTCAGGTCTGTGGGGTTTTGAAAACAAATTATGTACATCGATCCTCATGCCCAAAGCCACTGAACAACAATAAAGTAATCATATTCTGTTTTCTTTTTGTTCTCCAACTCCTCCCCACATTTACTGTTTTTATCTACTACTCTCTCCTTTATCCCAGAACAAGTGTCACAAACCTTAATTATACAGACCACTCACTCCCCCAGTCACTTCAGGATACAACAATGGTGGAGAGAGGAGAAAACATTTCATTTTTAAATTTTTTTTTAAAAAAATTCCAAATTTACTTTTCCCTCCTGCCAAATACCTCAATAATTATTAATAAAATTTATAGCATGATTGAATCTATCAGGTTTCTTTTTACACTATTCTTCATTCACATTGTGTTTCATACAGTCATTCCCATGCATTATGTTTTATAAAATTGGACCTCCTTTCCCATCATTACTCTATCTTTTCAGGTCCCTGATGGATCCTTCCCATTTTCTTTACCTCCTTCCTCTACCCACCAAACTGTGCTCCCTATGGTGCTCTCCCTACCCATCCTCACCCCTCTACTCCCACTCCTTCCCCCTTTGGGTCCTCATACATATTTTACTAGTTAACCTTCTATTTTTACAATAATGGTCTTATGCAGTATATTCACAAAATGGAATACTATGCAGCACTCAGGAGCAATGATTTAACACGTTGCTGCACACTTTTAAATTGACGACGTGCTTAGAAACACATTTTGCCATCATTTGCTGCAATGTGTTAAAAAAATACTACATAACCTGGGAGATACTGGAGAACATCATGCTGAGTGAACTAACTCAGACTCATAAGGAGGAAACATTCTTAAGGCTTGAGATACTGCAGACTCTGCAGAGGCAAAAACCTTGCATACAATTAAGTAGATTCTTCTCTACCCCCACCCCCAACGGCAAGACCTTCAAATTCAGTACACACTTCTCAGTTATTCTCAGCATGACCACTGTTCAATCTCTGAATGCATCATGTATTTGACTATTCTCCTCCTCCTTCCCATATTACCCTCTTTGGGTCTTTGCTCCAATAGCCAGGATCCTCTCTCACCTAACTCCATGTTTTCCTCAAAGCATGTCAATTTTGGTTTGTACCATTGCTCATGATGCTCTTGTATCTTCTTCCAGTATGTAAGCTTGGATCAGCAATGCAGTACCTGACAAAGGGTTGCGACTGTTGCTGTTGGGTACTACTGAGTTACTGGTAACAGAACAAAATGTTGCCTGGTTCTATGCAATTCCACATCTCTGTGGCTTAACTGACGGAATCCCCTCAGGCCAGGCCATTATCAACCTTCCTTTCTTCAGCCAATTCCAACTCCTGCTATAAGGTCAAACTTTGTGATTACATTTTCCCTGAAATAGAGACTTCAGATAACTCTCATCGTCTTGCATTTGTGTTCACTTTCTTAACAGCTTATCAGCCTTTGTGATAGTTCTTTATTATGAATATTCAGGAGACAGCGATTGTGTCTTTTATTCTTTCTTTCCTAAGAAGTCATTATGTGCTAGCTACCATTCTTATTTATCTAAGAGATGTTTATCTCAAATATAATAAAAGTACTCAATAACTGAGTACTGGATTAAAGTGACTTGTGTTTTTTATGCAAATAAGAGAAAAACTGACATTTCTATTCTAATGACTGACTCCCTTAAAAACCAACATCATCTATCTACATTCAGTTTCATTTGGTAGGTTCTGCACATAATCCCTTTAGGAGACGCCAAGTTAGCAGTCATATACTAACCTGTTTCTCCAATGCCAAGCACACACTAAAATGAGGATGAGCGTGGTGAGCACCATGACCAGCACAGGGACAAGGACTGCAGCCAGTGCTACATCTGAAATAGCAAAACACAAAAACCACAGCTTAAACTCCAGGGGCAGAACTCATGAGGAAGAATATTTAAAGATTGTTTACCACATCATCATTCAAACGGAATACTTCCTAGTAATATACTGGGGAAAATGTATTCTTTGCGTATGTCAAACAGTTAATGTAATTAGCAAAATCAGCAAAGTAGATGAAACAAAAAATATAGTAAAAAATAAGTAATTGCTAAAGTTGCTAGTTTCACTGTTATTGTTACGTGACGCTGAGTCAACTACTCTAATAATATAAAAAATATAAGAAGAACAAGATGCTATTTTTTGCCTACCAAATGCAAACATTAAAAAAGAATAACTTGGCGAGCTCTGGTGGCCTACTGGCAAGATGCTGCACTGCAATCACAGAGGTGAGCAGTTCAAATCCACCAGATGCTCTGCTGGAGAAGAAGGGACAATCTCCTCCTGTACGAGTCAGATCCGATTTGGCGGTACACACACACACACACACACACACACACACACACACAAATAATAATAATAATAAAATTGAAAAAAAAAAAAAAAGAACAACTTGCTATCTAAATTTCACCCAAACCACCATAAAATTTAAGAGGAGAAAAAGTTGACTAAGCAAGTAAGCAAAAATGGAGAGATGCAGATACCATGCCTCAGGAAGAAAACCAATGAGCCAAGAAACAGAGCTGAAAATTGACAAGGACCTTCCCCTAGAGCTGACGTACAGCCTTCTCCTGGAGCCAGGACCCTAGACTTAAGACTTTCAAACAGTGAGAGAAATTTATTTGTTAAAACAAAAAAATACAACCATTGATGCAGATGTCAGATTAGGAAACTGGTGTTTTCATGGGGATATACACTTATACTTATTTTCTGGTTGGCATAATGCACATATAAAAACACTGTCATTTCTTATCTAGCACTTGTACTTAGGGAAAATTAAAATACCCAATGATCATCTTTAAAGTTTATGTTATGTATCTGAAAAATCAGAAGTAATCCAAGTGTTCAATGTTGAGATAGTATAAATAAATCATACTCTCCTTCTCAGAGTGAGAAACAACTTTGGCAAAGAAAAACGGTGCGGGAAGACTATTTGTAGGTAGAAGAAAGCTAAAAACAGGGCTTAGCACCAGTTAATTGTTGTTATTTGACCCTGTGCTGGGAATTTGCTTTTCCACTCCAAATCCACTGAACCAGAATCTACGTTTTAACAAATTCCCCTGTGATTCTTATGTGTATGTAAATCACCTTGGGGATCTTTTAGAATGTGAATTCTGATTCAGTGTATCTAGAAAGGAAATGGAAATTCTCAGCAGGAGGCCAAAATGAGATAGTTTAAAATTATTATATAAGTAAGTATTATAGACAGAAAATTTGTAAATATATATTTGAACAGGTCAGAAATAAAAAAACAAACCCTCAACAACAGAGGTGCCATGATCTGTGAAATCATTTACTCCATGTATTCTCTGCTAGGAAGCTCTGGTCACCTAGTAGTAAGAAGTTGTGCTGTCAACCTAAACACATATGGTTCAAATCCACCAGCTGCTCTGTGGGAGAAACAATCTCCTTCTATGCAATGTATAGCCTCAAAAACCCACTAGAAGGTCAGCTATGAGCCAGTTCTAACTCAGTTACAACTAGTTACAACAGCAATGCCCTATAAATAAAATTCTAGGCCTAGATGTGGAAAAGTGATCTGCTTTGGTCAATTGGGACAGAAGTTTCTTCTTTTAACTCATCCTATCACTTTACATTTCTAGAAAATAGCCATGGCAAAAGCAATACCCAAGAATAACTAGGGCCCAAAGCCAGATAAAGAGTCCTGGTAGCACAGTGTGTCACATATTGGACAGCTAACCCAAAGCTCAGCAGTTCAAATCCTCCAGTCATTTTTTTGGAAAAAGCTGAACTAACTTCTTTGCTGAAGATTTACAACCTGAGAGATACCACAGAAGGTTGTCATGAGTTGGCAACAGACTTGATGGTAGTGACTTTAGCTTTGTTTTGTTGTTAGTTTGCTTTTTTTAAAAAGAGCCAGACACTACATGATGAACTTATTGCTGTTTATTTATTCCTTACAGTTTTACTGCAAAGAGAGGAGAGGGCAACTGTACAGGAGGATTAGGAAGAGAATCAATACTATTAGGCCTCTCAGAATGTAGATGGGACAGGAACCAGGTTACAGAGGAAGCGATCAGTTTTACGCATACAAAAAAGCACTGTTCCATTACAGGGGACTAAAGAAAAAAGGAATCCCGGCAGTGCTGTGCTCAGGTGCTAACCAAGAGTTAGGTGGTTTGAACCCACCAGCTGTTCCTCTGGAGAAAGATATAGCAGTCAATTTCCATAAAGATTACAGCCTTGGGTACCCTATGGGGCTGTTCTGTTCTGTATCACAGGGGCACTATGACTTAGAATTGACTGGACGTTGGCTTTCCTTTTGGTGGGACAAAAGGATACAGGTAAGTCTGTAAGACCCACAGAAAGGGAGTTTCCTAAAATGTCTTCTATTTTCTTGGCTGGTAAAGTAACTATGAGTGAGTGAAGGTCTAAGGGTCAAGGGTTTGCAATAAATATAGGGTGGGTTTTTTTTCCCCAAAATAGAAATTATAAGACTAGACAGGAAAATAGTCCATAGGTTGGCAGTGCAAGATAACCAGAGACTTTAAAACAAATGCTAAGGATCTGTTCAGGTATGCAAAGTAATAAAAATGTATCCACCCCTCCCTTCCAAACCCCTGAAGAAAATGAGGCTGGAGGGTTTCAATTGAAAAGACTTGCACACTTCTGCTATTCTCCTTTAAGCTAGAGGAATCACAGTCCTTGAAGAAAAGATTTTAGGAATGTTTTTCAATCCTGAGATTCTAAGATACTATAGCCGGATTTGAAGATGAACAATATTTTTAAAATTACTGTTCTTCCATCCAGGGATGTGGTTTGGGATTCTGCCCAAACATACGCCTTTTGTAAGCTATTTGTGGCAGAGTCTTATGCCTCTAAGAATTCTTCTTTCACTTTAGCTTCTGCTGCTCAGCAGCATGTGGAATATTTGAAGAAAAGCCATATTTAGATATTCAGGGGACAATGACACCTGTAAAAAAAGCAAGGGTCAAGTGGGGACAGCCATATCTGTCCTCTACCAATTTCACAAAGGGAAGCTCCTCATCAAAAGCATCAACAACACAAAACCAATTCCCATGAGGTCAGACATGTCCCCACCCACGCTCCTGTACCTCTTACATCTCCACACCCACCTTACTGCTTTACTGGGTCTAAAATCTGATGCAATTGCTCACAGACCACACAGAAACATAATGGAGAAGCCAAAAGATTATAATCCAGGTTAGCTGCAGAATACAGTCAGGACAGGTTCCAGAATGTGCTCACAGGAGCTTCAGCCTTGAACCTGGCAGCTTTAGGCCAATGTTACATAGGTCTCAGTCATGTCAGTCCCCAGTCCTCTAACAAACTTGGAAAAAAGGCTCTTAGCTCCAGTTCTGTGGCATGGCAGTCTGACGGTTCCCTCAGTCTTGTGTCAGGTCTCTGGATCTCCCCTGTGGCAGCTATGGCTGTTGTTCTCTTGTCTAGTGGCTCCTACTCTGCCATATGAATCTCTACTGGGGAAGGATACGTTGCATTCTCGTTTCTTTTCCAGTAGTGAGGTTCCTCTTTCTGCTGCTGGATAGACTCAATTTAATGGCAAGACTAGCCAATCCCTTGTGGATAGGCTGACATGCCCTATTCACATATTGCCACCCACAAGGCAAAGTCAAATTCAATGGCTAGGAGAGCCACCATTTTGAACATTAAACTCTTCACACCACAGCTCCAGAGAATAAAATTCAGATCAGTGAAGTCAGTCTTATCCCGTAGAAATGAGACTTTATTTTGCTATAACTAAAGAGTGTAATGGCACAATGTTTAGGTATGAGGCTGCTAACTTAAGGGTCTTTGATTTGATCCCACCTCATCTTTCACAGAAGACAAGGCCTGGTGATCTGCTCCCGCAAACATTAAATCCTAGGAGACCCTATGGGCCACGACTACTCTGTCCTATAGAGTCACTATGAAACACGAGGACAAACACAGTCTGAGGAAAAGAAACCAATAGTTAGGCTAGAATCAACCCAACGGCAGAACCAAAAACACAGTCTGGGGAAAAGAGAAGGTCAAGCTAGAAGCACACTTGAAAACCGAAGATAGAAAACCCAAAATACCATGCGGGAGGTATCTGTGCTTTGCTTACCTTTGGTTCCGTTTGGAGTTACAGTAGTATTTTTGATATCAGGTGTGGCAGTGGTTTGCTCCGTCTGTGCAGGCAAGTTATTGCCACTGCGAGGTTGGAGTGGTTGAGTAAACTTGGGGGCACGACCTTGAAATAAAAAAATGAAAAAAAATCTTATTTTCCCCACCTATACCAATGTGATTAAGATAAACTTGAGATATCAAATTCTCACATTGAAAGAAGGCACACCTTTGGCTATTTCTGGAGGGGTGGTTGTATTTTTGAGGTCATTGCTGCTCCGAGGAGGTGGAGGTTGAGTAAGTTTGGGAGGACGACCTTGAAAAAATGGTTTAGAAACGTTTACACATTTTGCTGCCAAAGTCATAATAAACCTGCAATTTTAAACATCTTTAAAATTTCCTAGGTTACTTAATTCTGACATTTCAAATCCCCAAATGAAATGTATCAGGAGGATAGATATTATATTCTGTATTAAATGCACAAATAAAGTAGTTCAACCGATTTGAAATAATTACATCTAAAATTTTACTCTTAATAATAATAAGGCATGATGATGCTGGACTCTAAAAACTATAAAAGGTGTCATCACCATTTGATATGCTACTAATCATTCAACAAATACATGGTTCATGATGTACTGGGTATTGTGGTAGGCCTGCGAGACAGCAGTGAAGATTACTGGATAATACTCAGCAAAGTCTTTCTCCTTAATCCAATAATAATAAAATTAAAACAAATGGTGCTGGCAAAACTGGTCTGCTACCTGCAGAGAGGTGAAATTGAATCCACATCTCACACCATACACAAAAATCAACTCAAGGTGGATCAGAGACATGGGAGTAAAGCCCAAAACCATAAAGGTCCTCAGAAACAAAAATTAGGATCAAGCTTAGATGACCCAGTATGGTATAAATAGACTTTTCAAATAAAGCCACAAAAGCACAATCTGTCGAGGATAAAATTGATGAATGGGACTTTCTAAAGACTAAATCTCATCAAAAACATTTTGCAACAGAGTGAAAATAAAAACTACTTTCTGGGAAAAACATATGGCAATACCATTCCAGACAAGGGTCTCAAATCAAATGGTTACAGAATCCTACAGGGCCTCCACAAGAAAAATATTGATAACACAATTACAAAATGGGCAAAAACAAAAGGAATTTAAGCTAAGGTTACTATCACAATCTTCAGTACTTCTGATACAAATATCATACTTCATAAGAAATATCTGAATTGAGATCAGACTTGAAATTCATGATTTTCAAAACCATTTTGGTATCTGACCTTTGAACAGAACTAACTATATTTTTAAATCTATTTTGTAAAGTACTATAGTAGCGCCTTAACACAAAATATGTTTTCAGTTAACAATCCAGTGAAAAGAACATGTCTTGAAATGCAGAGTTGATTTACCTTTAGGAATAAACTGACATCCAAGCAGTTCCATTTTCATGGCAATTTTCTGCTGCCATTGGGTAGGGTTCACTCTAATAAAACGTGCAACAATTGGTGGCAAAAAGTTATTACGTACATCCTGGTGATAATCTTTGTTTCCTTGAAATATCTTCAAAAAACAAAAAATTGGTACTTTACATCAACAAAGATAAGAATTCAATTCTTTGGCTTAAACTAGTTTGTGATTTTTACTCTGTGTTGTATATGAGATCTGCAAAGTATGACAAAAAAGTGAAAAAGAATTTTTTAAATAAATTAACCATAATTTAGAAAATGTTATTAAGAAGGTTCACATTCTTCATAAAAATTTATAAAAAATACTAAAAAGGAAAAGAATTAGAAACAGTTCAAAATCAACTGAAAACAGTTTCAAATGCACAAAGTTTATTGCATGAATAAATTAGTAACTCATATCCTGCTAAATGACCAACTATTTAAGCACATTAATTTTATTTTCCAAATGCAGCATAAATGAACAAAAGAGGTCTTTAGAGAAAATGTTTTGCTTGCATAATTTCCATAATTTGTCCCTCCATAAATCAACCCAGAATAGATATATCTCGCCATCTACTGGATAAACCATGTATCTAAACACTGAAACACTGTGCTTTACCTAATCTAATGAAAAACCAAATTAATAATGCATCATCTAAATAACCATTAGGTATAAATATTAAGGGAACCTCTTATTACTCATTATTGGTTTTAAAAAATTATACTTAACAGGTCTTAATTATTTACAAAATATTTTCATGTGATTTTTTTTTCTCTTCTCTTCTTGGCAACGACATTTTTATTTAAGGAGCTCCAGAAATCATGACTCAAGGAATACGCTAGGACTGCAAAGGTAGTCAGTGAGAGAGCTGACATGCTATATTAAAAAGCAGTATATTATGAAAGCAAATTGTATGTGTATGTCCATCTAAGCTCACATTCAGGAAATACATCCAAAGCTTTTGGTATATGGATGCATGGCCATCTGTGTATATAAGCTTACAACAGGTATACAAATTAATATACCACAGAACTGATGACAATTCTCCTTGAAGATTTGGAAGCATGAGAGAGTACAGATGGTCAAATATTAGTATGAAAAAATACGTTCTTTCAGGTGATTCAATGCAAATACTTCTGCTCTGTCCTTGACTGAGTAGGAAGGATGAGACTTACTCCCATATCTAATATATGAAAAACTAAAGGAGATAAAATATTAGTTTTCAGATACTGCACAGGGAAATAATTCCTAAACAAAATTAAATGCATGAAGTAAGCACAACAATCACTTCAATAGTGTCTCTGAAAAAAAGTTTCTAAGCTGCTATGCAAAAACGGAAATATCAAACTGAGCCTGGTAGCTTGAGCCTCAGTTTAGTTGTTGTCGAATCAACTGTGACCTGTAGCAACATTATGTTCAATAGTTCTGAACCCTGCCCTATCCTGAACCAGTCTCACTGACACACCTACCCCTATCAAACCAGTTACTGTGTCAATCAATTTCATGCTGGGTATTCCTTTCTTGTGCTGTCCTTCCACCGTTTCAAGCATGATGTCCTTCTCAAAATGGACTGTTGTTCTTCCTGGACATGTGTTCAAAGTATGTGAGACAGAGCTTCAAAATCCTTGCCTCCAAGGACCAAGTTGGCCTCACTCTCTCCAGGAGAGACCTGTTAAGTTTTCTCGGCAGTCCATCGTATGTTCAATACTCTTCTCCAGCACCACAACTCAAAGGTATTGATTCTTCTGTCATCTTTGGTCAATGAAGATTTATAGCAAGTCATTGCAAAGATCATGGCCTGGATCAGGTGTGCCTTAGTCTCTAGACTGATAAAAATGCTCTCTGGCTCTTAGAGAAATCCCTAATAGCAGATTTCCCCAATGCAATTTATCTACTGTTTCCTGACTGCTAATGCCCAGGGTGTTGACTGAAACCAAGTAAGCTGAAATTGTTAACAATCTCAATCTTTTTTTCCATCTATCATGGTGCTTCCAACTAGCCCAGTGGTGAGAATCCTTGGTGCTGAGCTTCAGTCCATACTGAAGACTACAGTCCTTAACCTTCTGAGAAATCAGAGCTCAGAAATGCAAGACAGCTAAAACTTGCAGGTCAGACTTTAGGAGAGAAAAGAGATAGGGAGGGAGGAAAACAGAGAAACCAAGATAGGTATATATAGGAGGTTTGCCCTTAAATTTTGGACTACATTTATGAAAACTACCTTACCCACTAAGTGTAACTCCTTACCCACTAATGCTACCAGAGCCCAGAGGAGAAAGATGGGCATATCCTCCCATGTGATTTACGGTCTCTGAAAACCTGTTGGAAGGTCAGCTATGTGTTGTTTGATTCAACAGCACAAAACACTTCCACCACTATCAGCTTTGGCTGGAGAAACATGGTAAAGAAATAATGTGGTGTTAAGGGTTTATTGTTCAAAATGGTTTTCCTAGCCACTGACTTTGACTTTACCTTGTAGATGGGTGAGAATACTCAAATAGGATGTGTTAGTATATCCACGAAGGCTATGGCTAGTGTTGCCATTAAATTGAGGGGATTCAGCAGTAGAATTTGAGAAGCTCACCACCAGCAAAGAAGAAGCAAGGAATGCAGCATTGCTTTTCTGGGCCAGAGATTCTTGCATCAGGCAGACTTACAGAAGAGCAGCAGTAGCCACAGCAGAGAACAAGAGACTCTCACGAGACAGAGCTGACCTTGAGATTGCTACCCCATGGAACCAGAGCCAAGAGCCTTTACCCAAGTTTGCTGCATAACGGAGATGGAGGGCCATAATTGGAAGGACTGAGAGCTTCTTAGCACTGGCCTAAAGAAAGGAGGCTGAAGGGACCATGAGTATGATTCACAAGCTGTCCTAAGAAGTTGTATCCTGTTAACTTCTGTAATAAACTCTAAAATCGTAAGTATGTTTCTGTATATTCTATGCTCTACTGTAATGGGTTCTGGATCCAGCAAAGCAGGAAGATTGGTATTGAAGTTAGTAAAAGTGTTAAGGGAATTCTAATTCTGTTGTTATGTGCCGTTGAGTCAACTACTACTCACAGTGAGCCGATGTGCAATAGCTCTGAATCCCACTCTATTTGAAGGCAATCTCACTCTCTGACATACCTACCCTCATTACCCTAGTTACTATGTCAATCTCATCCAAGATCTTCCTGTCTTGAACTGTCTGTCCATCATTCCAAGCATAATATCCTTTCCTAAGGACTGGTCGTGCCTGGCAACATGCCAAAAGTATGTAAGACGGAGCCTTAAAATCCTTACCTCCAAGGAGAGCTTGGTTTCACTCTCCTCAAGAAGTAACTGATAAAAAAAAAGATAAAAAAAAAAGAAGTAACTGATAGTCTTCTTGGCAGTCCATGTTTAATATTCTTCTCCAGAACCAAAACACAAAGGCATTTATTCTTCTTCTGTCATCTTTGGTCATCAGAGCTGGCTCTCTGATACATAGCAAATAACTGTGAAGTCCATGGCCTGGATCATGTGCACCTTGGTCTCTAGACTGACATCGCTGCTCTTCAGAACTCTGGAGAGGTCTCTGACAGCAGATTTTCCTAATGCAATTCATCTTTTGACTTCCTGACTGCTCATGCCAAGAGTACTTATTATGAAACTAAGCAAGATGAAGTTATCAATAATTTCAATCTCTTCTCCATCTTTCATGGTGCTGCCAGCTGGCTTATTGGTGGAAATCTTTGTTTTCTTGATGTTGAGCTTCAATCTACATTCCAGCCTACAGTCCTTGACCCTCTGAAGCAAATGTTTCAGACCCTCCTCAGTTTCAGTTTGTATCATCTGTGTACCGCAGATTGTCGATCACTCTTCCTCCAATCCTGATGCCACATTCCTTTTCACAGAGTCCAGCCTCCTCGATGATCTGTTCCACATACATGATTTACCTTATGGGAACTGGTTGTGTTGTGGATATCATTGGTGGGGACAGTTCCCCCCTGGAGAGTCAGTAGAGGTCAGATACGGCTGTCCCTATGCAACCCTTGCTCCTTTTACAAGTCATGACAAATTTTTAGTGTTCACATAGGGTTGGAGCCAGCTTATACATTCTCAACAGCATGAGTGAAAAACTTCACAAGAACACTGACTAATAGAGAAAAATTGGATCGATAACAATAGCTTCTCAGGTTCTATTTTAACAAAACTCAGAAAAGACTAAACCATATGCAAGCAACCTAACTGCACAGCAGGATAAAGGAAAGAGAGGGAGGCATCAAACAACTAGATAATATAAAGTTCATAAGGTCTAACATTGTACCAAAAATTTCCAAGTTTGAAAAATATAGCCCATACTGAGAACTATTACTCAATTTAAAAACTCAGATTTTTCACATATGATAAAATTAGTAGACAAGGGTCCTACAAGTATTATTATAAACAGTTGATATGTGCCATAAGAGATGTCATCTGCATCATCTTAAGGAATGATACAGGGAGAAAATCCAACAAATAAAACGTGAACACTCTGAAGTGAAAAATATAAATTACTGAAACAAAAATATACTCCCTACCAAAACAAAAGAAACTGGAAAACCATCTGCTGCCACTGAGATGATTCGAATCCACGGCAACCCTATGAACTACACAGAATTTTAGCTGTAATCTTTATGCAAGATCTTCCTTCTGCTGTTCCACTGGCTGGGTTTGAACTACCAATTTGCAGATTAGTAAACTAGGGAAACTGAGTCAACTAAAGACTAAATTCTTGGACAAAGTGCAGCCCAAATGCTCCCTTGGTGGCCAAGATGACAAAGCACAAAGCTTTGTCTCACATACTCTGGAATACTGTTAGGAGAGGTTGTACTTTAGAAAGTGACATCATGCTTGGAAAAGTGGAGGGAAATGGAAACAAAAATCTTCAATCAGATGGATTGACACTAACTGCAGCAATAGCCCCAAGTATGTCAGAAGTGATAAGGACAGTACAAGATAATCCTGAATTCAGATCTGTTAATTATAGGGTCTCTATGAGTTGTACTTTTTTTGCCCTAAGCCAGAAGGGGCATAATTTTCATCTATGAGAGGAAAGAGGTGAAATGGTGCTTTGGAGGTGAAAGATGGGGGCGAGGTGTTTTCTCATCTAAGAAGTGGGCTTCAGTCAGCTGGTAGCAGTGTAAGTCTCTGCTAGATATTCAGGCTTGGTTTAGAAGAGGCTATGGTACTAGGTACATCATAGCCAACATTAGACAGATCTTGGCCAAAAGCAAAGAGTACTAGAGGAATGTCTATCTTTATCTCATTGAGTATGCAAAGGCATTTGACTATGTGAATCACAACAAATTGTGACTAACTTTGAGAAGAATGGGGATCCCAGAATACTTAACTGTGTTCATGTGAAACCTATACTTGGACCAGAAGCAGCAGGGAACACTGGATGATTCAGGATCAGAAAAGGTGTGCATCAGGGATACACCCTGTCTTCATACCTTTTCAATGTATATGTGGAACAGATAATTTGGGAGGCCGGACTTTATGAGAAGGGATGTGGCATCAGGATTGGAGGAAGACCCATCAACAATCTGCATTATGCAGAGGATAAAATCTTGCTTGTTGAAACTGGAAAGGATGAGGCATTTGCTGCAGGTCAAGGACTGTAGTCTTCAATATGGATTGAAGCTCAACATCAAGAAAACAAAGATTCTCACCACTGGATAGAGAAGAGATTGAGGTTGTTGATAACTTCACCTTGCTTTGTTCCACAATCAATACTCTTGGCATCAGCAGTCAGAAAACCAAGACACGAACTGCTTGGGTATTATTTGCATGATAATAGTCCAGAATAGGAGGTGCATGGCAAGGTGGATTGGGGGGGTGGAGGGGAGGGAGGAAACTGTGCAACAATGAATGAATGGACATCCAAGTTTTCTATAAACTTTTGTTAAAATATCAATTTTTTTTAAAAGGGGAGGAAAAAGATGCATTGCATTGGGAAAGTCTGCTGTGAGGGACCTCTCTAGAATACTGAAGAGCAACAATGTCAGTCTGGAGAAGAAGGTGTGCCTGATTCAGGCCATGGTCCTCACAACTACTTTCTATGCATCAGAAAGCTGGACAATAACTAAGGATAATAGACAAAGGTTCAATGCCTTTGAGTTGTGGTGCTGGAGAAGAGTGTTGAATATATCCTGGAATGCTAGAGAGAACAATCAGGTCTGTCCTGGAGAGGATATAAACTGGCTACCCCATGGAGTCAAGGATTTTGAGGTTGTGTCTCACAAAATTTGGGCATGTGGCCAGTGAGGCCAGTCCTTGGAGAGGGACATCATGCTTGGAAAGGTGGAAAGACAGTGAAGGAGATGAAGACCCAAGATGAGATGGACTGACTCAGTAACTGGCGAAATGGGATTAAGTCTGTTGCAGATGATAAGATTGCCTCAGGATAGAGCAGGTTTTGGAGCTAATGTACGCAGGGTCACTACAAGTCACAGGGCAACTCAATGGCACATAACAACAACAACAACAATGAATTGTACTTAATAGCACCTACCAACAACAACAAAGACTAAATGGATTGTTGATTAGATCATGCAGGAGAACAGAATACTCAACTTGAAGACAAATCAATACAAATTTTCTGAAGTAAAATACAGAGAGGAAAAGACTGAAAAAAATAAGGTCAGTAAACTTTGAGACATCTTTAATATTTGTAATTACAATTGGAAGGGTAATATCTGATGAATAAGTTTTCCAAATTTTATAAAGATTATTAACTATAGAGCCAACAGGCTAATAAAGAAAAAAAGTTAACTAGAAGAAACATGAGCGAGAAGAAAATCTACACAAAGGTACATCACAACCAAATTATTTGAAACAAATGGAATACAGAAAATGTAAAAGCAACCAAAGAAAAGAGATACTTTACATACAAAGGAATGGAGAAAAAAATGATAGCTGAATTCTTGGTGAAACTAATGCAAATCAGGAAATAACACGAGTGCAGAATAATATATGTAGTAAAATTATCTCTCAAGAAGAATGTTTTCTTCAGAAGCAGTTCACTGCTGTGAGATGCTAATATAACATAAGCCTGGATAATTCTGTAATTTTTAAAATAATTATATTTTGTAAGTATCATAATTAGTAAATAAATAAGGATGTGTTAGAATAAAGAGTCATAAAGTGAACGAGGGAAGATTAAGCAGGAGGAGGGTAGCCTGGAAGGAGTACTGTCAATCTGCTTTAATGAGCAGTGAATCTGGCTCAAACCATTTTAAGAAAATAAGTGGCAAAGAGTTGTGCTACCAAAACAAAGGTACGCGGTTCGAATCTAGCAGCTGCTCCAAGAGATAAAAATGGACAGTCTCTTCCTGTGGGATTTACTGCCTCTGAAAATCCACTGGAAGGTCAGTATGGGTCTGTTTCAACTTGACAGTACTCAAGTATCCAAAACAACATGGAAATGAATGAAATTCTGGTAAGGAAAATCTTTTAAGATGGAAGTTGATGAGATAATTTTTGAAATGATCTTTCAATTTCATAACACCGTACAACTGACTGTGCCTTTATTTTATCCCTCCGTCCCCTTTGTCTTTATAACTGAAAACTATGAAGTAATTAACCTCTCACTAAGTGTATAAAAAGCTTTACCAAGACAAGAAACTACAGCTATCACTCTCAGACTCAAAACAGTGTCTAAACAGTGCAGTTGAAAATGTGATAGCATAAATCAGGAAAAACACTGACCTGGTATCATTAGAATTTTTGAACTACGGTTAAAAGGGAAAGGGCATTAACTAACACTATCCCAAAAAACCAGAAGAGGGCAGAGTTAGGACACTATGACGAACTTTTCTATTCAGTGGAGTCTGCAACTGTTGGAAAATGATTCATTTTTGAAGTATTCTGTAAAATACCCTGGAAATTATTTTACCTTATCTTGCTCCACACCAGGTTCTCTGTACACAGTCCATTTTTGCCCATCATCACTATACAGAATTCTGTAGGCAGACACATAGTAATTGTGTTCCACCATGGTGGATCCGGTGGTTATGATGCCTGGGGAATGGACAGCGGCTTTTATTAACACACACAGGCTGGTCTCCAAAGTAGTTTTAGCATCAAAGTATAAATTTCTGAGACTCATTGTTTAAAAACTTATTTTTATGACAATTTCCAAAAGTAAATGTATATTTGTACAATATAATAGTTGCTAAATCCTTGGCTTTGTTCTCTTCAGACAGGAAGAATTCTGGGTTCTTATATAAGAAACGGTTTATTTCATTGTTGGCAGCATGTGTTCATAATATTATAAAACATTTCAATTACTAAAAACGACTTCCTGGGAATGCATAGACTAATGGTAATCACTGGTATTATTTAACTAGCAGAGCAAAATAAATCTTTCAACAAAGTGGTCTAATCAATTATTTTAACCCTTTGCTAAGTTCCTCTAAATGATTAAGTTTATGTCAAGCACATATGGAACAGAAGTTATGCAGAGCGCTTAAAACGGACTTCTTGAACATACATTTTTCTTTTAATGACTGTAAGAAATGGTTATATCAGATGTGTCCGTATCACTTTATTGTAACACTGTCTTAAAAGAATTTGATTACAGTGAAATGAAAAAGTAAGAATTAAACACCACCCCATCTTCTGTGTCCTGATGTAGCTAAAGCTACCACTAGTACTACTAATACAAGACTAGTAACATTAACAGCAGAGAAGAGTATTTGAAACGGTATAATTTTCAGTGGTTTTATATAAAAATCACAGATGGTACCAGGTTTCCAAATATCATCACAATTATAAAGTAATCTAGAAAATGATAGATATCACTTAACCTGTAATCTTCTTTTCCTTATTCAGATCTATTTGTAACCACTGATATTCATCAGTGGCAAAAGCAGCCCAAGGGGGTCCAGGTTTTTTCAGCCTGGCCTTTTCCGGTTTCCAAATGTTCTCCTGCCCCGTGTGGTCAGTCCACTCCAGCACAGATGATGCAGTTATCTGAGAATCAGCAATCACACCAGATTCCATCCCCAGCGTTCCATAGCAACCTGAAATAAAGGAAAGCATAATCAGATGTTCAAATATAAACTCAAAACAAAACACCTGCCCAGGGTGACTTCCTATGGTACTTTTAATTAACATACAGTTGAAATGCTGACAGCTTGTACCCACTAGCTGGTTTAAGGGAGAATGACAGTTTCCTTCCAGTAAGATTTATAGTCTTGGAAATTCATTGGAGTGTTTCTATGTGTTGGAATAGACTCAAAAGTAGTGGGCCTTAGGCATGCTAGTACCCAATACAGTATGTAACAGGGGGCAAAAAAAAAAATCAGAAGTAGGCAAGGGTTTCCCTGGCAAATGTCCATCATTGCATCTTGTTAGGAAACCTGCAGATACATTTATTTACAGGCCATTATCATTAGTCAAATGGAGATATACTGTCCTCTCCCTGGAATATCTTGCGCAGGTTTAGTGAATGACTTAACTAACTCCCTTACCTCCACCACACTTTTGTTCCTATGGTGCCTTTTCTAAGGGGTCTTTCCTGCTACTAAAAATTTCAAACTAGTACTGCCTGCATTCCTTGCTGGAGATATTTTCTATACCTGTTGTCATATTGTAAATAGTACACTGTAAACAATCATTAATTTCTTATGTCTCTCATCATCACACTGCAAGCTCCAAGAGGGCAGGCATTTCTTTATTTTGTTCACCACTGGACTTCTAGCACTAGTACACAGTTGATGTTGTTGTTGTGTGTCTCTAAATTGGAACCAACCCACAGCTGATGCTCCAGAAAGTTTTCAGAGATAGTAAATCACATGGAAAAAAATTGTCCATCCTTCCACAGAGCAGGTGGTGTATTCAAACCACGTGCTTCAAGACTGCAGCATAGCTTCTTACCACTAGGTCACCAGAGTTCCCTATTATGTTGTTAGGTGCCATAGAGTCGAGCACAACTCATAGTGATTCTATAAGCTACGGATCTGAACCCTGTTCTAACCTACATCATCCTCACACTTACCGACACCCAGAGCCCACTGCAGCAGTCACTGTATCAATCCACATGGCTGCGGGTCCTCCTCTCCTTCGCTCTGCCCTTCCTATCATCATGTCCCTCTCCAAGTAATAGCTTCTCCTACTGACATGCCCAAAGCGTGTGAGGCAAAGCCTCATCATTCTTGTCTCCAAAGAGCACTCTGGCTGCACCCTCTCCAAGACATATCTGTTTGTTCCCTTGGCCATTCATGGGATGTTCAGTGCTCTCAACACCACAGCTCAAAGGTGCAAATAAGAAGCACTCAATGAAAACCTGCTAGAGGGTCAACCAAGAATAGATTCTGACTTGATATTAACATCATCATGAATGACTTACTTTTGACAAAGTGCTAAAGAATCTTCCTCTTTTCCCTACTATTATAAAACCCTCCAGTTTATTTTACTCATTACACTAGATAAGCATGACTTTTAATTTCCTAGTGCTATTTTGATGACTAACTGAGAAAGGTCACAAAAAGCAACTGGTAAAGTCAGTCAATGTTCACTTAATATTAGCTAGAATACAAATGATACATTAAAAAAATTTTATGAAAGTCTTACCACTTGTCTTAAATGTAAAAAGACTTGTAGATAAATGTCCTCTGAAAAAGAGAGAGCAATTTTTGGTTATTTTCATATAACACATGATCTACTTAAACTAATTCTCGTGAAACACTGACTTGTTTTTTATTTTATAATTTAAAGAACAATAAACATTCCAACGCTAAAAATTGTTATGTGCCGTCGAGTCGCTTGCAACTCATAGTGACCCTATGTACAACAGCCCTAAACCCTGCTCTATCCTGTGCCAATCTCACTGCCTCTGACACATCCAACCCGATTACCCCAGTCACTGAATCAATCCACCTCATAGACGGTCTTCCCCTTCTGTACCGTCCCTCCACCCTTCCAAGCGTGATGTCCCTCTCCAAGGACCAGTCCCTCCTTACAACATGTCCAAAGTATGTTAGCCGAAGCCTCAGAATCCTTGCTTCCAAAGAGCAGCCTGTTTTAACCCTTTCCAGGATGAATCTATTTGTTTTCTTGGCAGTCCAGGGTACATTCAATACTCTTCTCCAGCACCACAGCTCAAAGGCATCCATTTTCCTTCTATCCTCCTTAGTTATTGTCCAACTCTCTGATGCATAACAAGTGATTGTAAAGACCAAAGCCTGTATCAGATGCACCTTAGTCTCCAGAGTGACACTATTGCTCTTCAGTACCCTGGAGAAGTCCCTAACAGCAGACTTTCCCATTGCAATACGTTTTTTGATTTCCTGGCTACAATGGAAATTATCCTTCACTGTAATCCCCACTCCAAAGTCTCATTTCTTAGCAGAGCAACTTCTAAAATCAGCATAAACAACTTTCTTCTAAGTATCTAGAACCTAGTTTCACACATTACTGCAACATGTCCATGTCGTCTTAAAAGTAACTTTCTTTTTCATGAAGTAAATGAACTTTGTCAAATGCTTCTGAGTAAAAGTACACTAAAAGATTTAATTCTCTGAGAATAAGGCTCAAGTTTTCTGGAACAAACAAAAGAGACTAGGTACTAATAATTATTTTTATGTGCTGTAAAATAGAGACTGGAAAATGAGACATACCAAGGATAAGCCTAGTATCAGAATGCAGCATTCTACTGGGATTTCCCAAGAGTGGGGCAAGGTGTGAGCTGGGGAGAACAGAGTGTTCAAAAGCACAGGACTTCAGGAAGTTGAAAAAAGAAAACTGCTAGTGTATCTTCGAGTATTTTAGCACAACATAAGAGAATGCAATGTGGTTTTTTACTTTTTTCTGAGAGTACTCCCTCCAAATGTTTTTGTTCTAAATATAGGAGAAAGTGTCTGCATAAGACTGTCTAGAAGAAACAAAAGGAAGAAAGACAGGCAAAGGGTGGGCAAACATCAGCCCATGCTGGCCAAACTGCTATGGCCAGGGAAGAAAGAATGGTGTTTATATGCTCATGGGTTGCTTTGTTGTTAGGTGTTGCTGAGGTGAATATGACTCAAAACAACGCTATGAACAACAGATCTGAACCCTGTCCAATTCTTTGCCATTCACACACTTCCAGACACTCTAGAGGCCACTGCAGCATTCACTGTTTCAATTCATCTAGTTGAGGCTCTTTCTCTCCTTTGCTGACTTTCTGCCTTTCCAAATATGATGTTCCTCTTCAAGGAATAGCCTCTCCAAGCAACATGCCAGAAGTACATGAAGTGAATGAAGCTTTATTATCTTTGCCTCCAAGGAGCACTCTACCTACACTTTCTCAAAAAAAAAAGGTTTTTTTGTTTGTTCTTTTGGTTGTCCATGTCCTGGCCAGATCAGTACTCTTCTCCAACTCCACAGGTTAAAGGCATCAATTCTTCTTCTGTCATCCTTATTCACTGTTCAGCTTTCAGGTGCACAGCACCTGATCAGGAAGACCGTGGCTTAAATTAGACACACCTTAGTCCTCAAACCAACATCATCACTCCTCAATAATTTGGAGACATCCCTGACTACAGACTTTCCTAGTACAAAACATCTCCTGATTTCATGACTGCTGGTACCAAGGAGGTTGATTGTGAATCAAGTAAAACGAAATCATTGGCAACATCAGTCTTTTCTCCATATATCATGATTCTGCCTATTGTTACAGTGGTAAAAATTTTTGTTTGCTTGATGTGGAGATACAATCCATATTGGAGGCTGTATACATCGATCTTCTGCAGCAAGTGCTTCAAGTCTTCCTCACTTTCATCAAGCAAGATTATGTCCTCTGCACAATGAAGATTATTGATGAGTCTTCCTCCAACAGTGATGCTACATTCTTCTTCTTAGAGTCCAGCTTCTCAAATAATTTTCTGAGAATACAGACTGAATAGGGATGGAGAGAAGATACAACCCTGACACACTCCTTTCTTAATTTTATTTTTTTTTCACCTTCTTTACATTTATTCTAGAACAGTAAAGCAATAAACATAATAATCATAAAGAAATGGTATAGTATGTTCTAAATACACAGTACTAGAAAAATACACAGTAAAGCCCATGAAAGTCAAGTCTTGTGTGAGGATCTCAACCTTGGCATATCTACAGTCTGTTCTACGCTAATTAACAAATCCTCCTCAAACTCGCAGACACACTCAATGGCAGAATCAGGTCAGGGATCTTCGAAATTGTTGGGGACACTACTGAGTTAACGCTGGTGAGTCTTCTCATGGTGATGGAATGTGGATGACTGGCGGAAACGCTTTCTACAAGCAGAGCACTCGTAGGGCTTGGCTCCTGTGTGGATCCGCTCGTGAGACAGCCAGTTGGTTCTGTGGCTGAAGGCTTTGCCACAGAATCTGCATTTGAGAGGCTTCTCACTCTTGTGAGTCACCAGGTGCACTGTCAGGTCTGATTTCTGGAAGAAGCGTTTGGGGCACGTGGTACAAACATAGGGCCTCTCGTTCTTGTGTCGTCTTTTGTGGTATTTTAACTGAGAGGGATATAAGAAGATCCTGAGGCATTCCTCACATTTGAGTGGTTTTGAGGATTTTGGAACTATTTCTTGGTGTTCCTCAGGTGAGGGTTGTCCCTAATTACACTGGTGAGCAGAGGGAGTTGCACTAATTGCTGAGTCTTGTCTGGAGATAGATCCTTGTTTCCTTTCTTAATTTTAAACCATATAGTGTTCCTTTTCTCTGTTTGCACAACAGCTTCTTGGTCTAGATATAGGTTTCACATGAGCACAATTAAATGTTCTGTGATTCCAAAGCTACTCAATGTTACTCATAATTTGTGAGGTTACATGCTTAAATGGTTGTAAATTAAAAAAATTAGAATAAGTAAGAGAGATACATGTTAACCATAAAGCCTAAAATATTTAGCTGTCTGGCCCTTTCCAATATGCTGATGCCTGCTCTCCATTGTCCTGGGTACAAGTCAAGCTTTGAACAAGGAACTCAGAAGGAAAAACTACTTTCAATTGGAGTTAGTATTCTCTGCATTACTGAGCACAGGAAAGAGGCAAGACTTATCAAAAGGGATGGCCAATACATTTCTATAAAATTCTTAGTAATCTCTCATCAATTCTTCTGCTTTCGAAGCCTAACACACACTTTGTATAACCCTATAACACTCAAAATGCCACAAAAATCCATTTTTAGGATATACTTTTTAAAAATTTATTATTATTATTATTAATTTTAATGTAAAGTTACAGAGACTTTGGATTTCCATTCATTAATTGTTGCATTTTTCTCCCTGACCATCCCTCCCCCCCAGTTCACTCTTCTCTTTGAAAAGTAAAAGAAAAATTCTTTCATTGTTAAGCAATCCCTCCCCCCCAAGTCTACTCCATTATGCAGCCTTTGTTCTGGACTCCTATCATGACAATAATACCTAATCATATATCCCTTTTAAAGAGTTCTCTATCGCTCATCTGTTTCAATGAAGTATACATAATTTATCCCATCTTTCTCAGTCTCCCCCCAATCCCGATGTCAGTCTCGTTTTACAACAGTTATTTGTCATTTTGTGCCTGAGAGATATCACTCTGCATAATGTCCTCCAGTGTCAACCATTTTGAATAATATTTCATGAGTTCCTTGTTTTTCAATGTAACATAGTATTCCATTGTGTGAATATACCACAGCTTCTCTATCCACTCTTTTGTTGATGGGCATTTAGGTTGTTTCCAACTCTTTACTACTGTGAACAAAGCTGTGATAAACATGTGTGTACAACTTTTAGGATATTCTTGAGGAAGGGGAAGCAGTTTTATAATACCACTACTTTAAATTTATGCCAAAATTTAAAGTATTTAAATTATCCTCAATGTATCTGGAACATATTGGCTGAATACAGAAACAGAGCAGTTAGGCTTTCTGCTATCTAAATTAAAGTAAGGATTTAACAGTAACAGATTCTCACCCCAGGACATTTCAACAGTTAGCAATGAAAGGAAAGCAATTCTTCACCAATAAGTTACTACATTTTTGAAGCAGAACATGTTACAAGTTATATCATACAGCCTATACTCCAAAAATGAATTCTCTGATACATTCAGGTGTTGAAAACAAACAAATGTGTCTGCTGAGTATCTATTAATGTTATTTCATGAAGACCATGAGTATATTGCTAAGGTATAACAGTCCCTAGCCCACCCTTATCCAGCGTGTGTACTTACACCACAGATGTGACGTTGTTAGCCAATGAACTTTCATAGTATGGAATACCTTTACTAATTACAACACTGATTTGGCCACCCAAAATGTTGGACACCACTCCTGCATGTATACCAGCTATGCACAATGGTGAGGACTTGAGAGAAGGGGGAGAAAAAAAGAAAGAAAGAATATTAGTTTGTGATTTTTTTTGATAATTCATTAACCAACACACTTAGACTTCCTTAAGAAATTAAGTTGAGGGGAGCTCTGGTGGCCTAGTTCAAGGAGCTGCAACTACAATCCCAGAGGCGCACGGTTCAAATCCACCAGATGCTCTGCCAGGGAAGGAGGGACAATCTCCTCCTGTACCAGTCAGATCTGGTTTGACAGTACACGCACACAAGAATAATAATTAAAAAAATATTAAAAAAAAGAAATTAAATTGATCTAGTTAGTGTATTCAATAAACAAGAAACACAACAGGTTAATTTACACTTTAACATAGAACAGCTTTCCTCAGCTTTTTTTTTTAAACAAAAGAAAAATAATGTAACATTACATACTACAAAGAAGAATTAATTCCTTAAAAATGAAAATCAATACACAACCCTCCACCCTTTATTAAAAGATTTAAGGGGTTTAGATCATGGCTTTAAAATTAGCCTAAATCCAACTTACATCTCTGTAGCCATGAGGAATTGTTCCAGATATTTCAGCAAATGGAAGCAGACAGCCAGCCGGACAGTACTTACTGAAAGAGGAAAACAAGTAAAAGGGTATATTCTTGTTGTTCATAGCAACCCTATGGGAAAAAAAGGCCTGAAGCCTTTCTATAACTATCAACATTTATCAAAGTGCATAGAGTTTCCAGAGGCATGTTGTTTAGGAAGTATGGAACACTGTATTTCTGGGGAAAGAGACGGGGAAAAAATGTTTACATCTATTTTTTACTTCTGTGTACACAGCACCTATGGGCCTTGAGTCTGACATTGTCTTTGCTGCTATTTGTAATCTACTACACAACTCATGTCATGACTGGGAATAAACCAATTTTTATTTAGTACTTTCTTCTGCCTTCCATCACAGAAGTCATTTTCTAAGTCACTTGTCCTTCAAACTTTAATTAGTGGTCATAATTTGCAAAAATTAAGAACATATGTAAAGAAAGTTGGAGAGGTAGGGCAAGGCTGAGGTGGGTTTATTGTCCAAAATGGCTTTAACATTATTAGCCTCATGACTGGGTGGGAACATGCAAACAATGTGTGTAGACCAATTATGACAGGACTAGTCAACAAATCGGTCAGTATTGTCATCCTACCAAGTTTAAATTGAGCAAGTTCAGTAGCAGAAAATGAAATCTCATTACTGGGAAGAAAGAAGCAGCAGAAAATGCAGCATGCAGCCTCTGGGACCACATTGATTCCTGCTCGGCATTTGTTGATTCATGTAATCACTCATCCACTGATCCAGTCACCCATGCAGTCAACAGTTAATTGAATGTGTATATATTTAAGTGTTGTGCGCATACTGGGTTTACAAAGGTCAACCAATAGCACCCTTGTCCTCACTGAGCTTATATGCCAGCAGGGAAAAATAACTTTAAAATGACGCACAAATACTTAATCACAGGTTTAGATACTGTCACAAAGAAAAAGCAGTCTATAAAAGAATTGTGTGTGCTATAGAGTAGGAACCGACCCATAGCTGACCCTCCAGCAGGTTTTCAGAGGCAGTTAATCACACAGGAGGAGACTGCCCATCCTTCTCCTGCGGAGCAGCTGGTGGATATGAACCGTGTGCCTTTGGGATTGCAGCACAGCTTCTTGTCACTAGGCCACCAGAGCTCTAATTCAACTAAAATAATCTCTTACTCTCTCACCACCATAGTAAGAACTAACTTATAGCTGACCTTTCAGTGGGTTTTAGGAAGTTGTGAGTTGCATAAGCAGACACTACCAAACTTTCTCCTACAGAGCTGCTGCTGGAAGCAGCACAACCCTCTAGAGACGTCACTAGAGCTTTGCACTCATCTGTCAGTTTGTCATACTGTAAGGTCTCAGTGTTACTGTGATCCTGGAAGGGATGTCACAGATATTATTAAAAAAATGAGATGGGTCACTCAACACGGCAGCTTTCATTGGAGATTTCAGACTAAGGCACACTAGCAAGGGGGACCTGGTGATCCACATCAAAAACATTTGCCACTGAAAACCTTATGAATACATGTGTAATACAGGGTTGAGAGAAGAGCCACTCAGGTTAGAAGGCACTTAAAAAGCTGCAGCAATGGGTTTAAGCATACCAACAGTTGTGAAAACAGTGGGAGAATGGGCAGGGTTTCGTTCTGTTGTTCATACCGCTGCTGAGTCTAACTGACTCAACAGTATTTAACAACAACAAAAGAGTCTGTAACAACAGTCTCTAATAGGTGGCGGTTTCAGTGCTTCCGATTAACTCATTAGAGCACTCTACAGATGAAGAAATTGAGGAACAGAAGTTAAATACTGTATCCAGATCATACAGCTGGCAAGTAGCAGAGAGGCACCAGCACGTAAGTTCATGCATGGCTTCTACACTGTTCTCATCAGGGAGCTGAGATAGTCAGTGGAGTAAGTGGAGGAAAATGCATAGCGAACAGAAGTGCAGTCCTGTGAGGCACGGTGGTGTAGTGAAAGTCTGGAATGGCAGATGACTAGTATCCAGAGTGTCAGAGTGAAACAAGTAAAGGATAAGGTTCATTTGAGAGGAGGGTGGCGAGGTGGGCAAGGGCCAGATCCTGCAGAGGAACTGTAGGCTACAGCAAGAAAACTGGATTATATTTCTAAGTAAAACAGGAAGGCATTAAATTATTTTGACAGTTTATGTGCATAATTTGATTTGTATCTTTTAAATGGATTATTCTGGCTCCTGGGAAGAGTGCGCAAGGAATCATGAGTGGAATTTGAGACACTATTATTCAGATAACAGAGTAATCTGGTGGGAGGTAATGTAGCGCTGCTCGTGGAGGGTGCAGGGAACATGGCAATGACTGGGAAGGGTCTTCTTGCTTGCAGGTTGCTAGTCATGGGCCAAGGGCAAGAATACTTCTAATGAGTGCTTCTCATTCAATGCTTCTCCTCAACCAAACACTTGTCTGAGGAAGGCACCCTCCCCAGAGAGAGAGAGAACCAATCCTGAAGATAAAATTAAAGTTCTCTGAAGAATTGAAGTTTGCTGAGAGGACTCTTAAAGGGTGAGGATAATTTTGCTGAAGAGAAGAATAAAAAGTAAAGCCAAAATTTCTGAGAGTTCACAGCAGTAAACTAAAAATAAACCAGAATCACTTCAACAAAGTGATGGAACTGGAAAAATGGACCTCTGAAGGAAGGATCCTGAAGACAAAGCTAAAGTATTTTTACTTCTTTTTTTGTAATAAGAAGGGAAATGTTCAGATAAGTATTTTAGAACATGAAAGTGGTATAAAGGGTAGAATAAAGTCAGTGAAGATTAAAAATGGAGTCTAAATTAGAAAATAACCCTCGTCTAAATAAGAGACCATGACAAGAAGCAGGGAAACAGTGGTATAGTTACATGGGAAATAATAACTACTAACTCTTAAGAGTACAGCCATGATGCTGCTTTGTCCCATATATGTTGTGCATATTGTTAGGAGGTCCCTGGAAAAGGGCATCATGGAAAGGTGAAGGGTCGGCAAAAGAAGATCCTCAATGAGATGGACTGACAGGGTTACTAACAATGAGCTAAGTGTATCAGATTATGAGGATGGCAAGGTTCAGAGCCATTGTTCACAGGGTCATTATGAGTCGTAGGCCAATTGAAGGCATCTAACAACAACAAAAACAATAGCATACTATACCAGCCTAACATGTCCTTCTTCACTTTTTTAAAAGAAACGTAACTCTCCTCCCTTTAAAAGCAATTTTGCTAGATCTTGCAGAACAACTACTTATATTTTTAAAGCCTATTAATATGATACTTTCAAGGCAGAGAAGACTCAAATACTACAATTAAAGCAAACTTTTAACATGGAAACCAAGTGGCTTTAAATGAGCTATGTGATTCACTGGGCAATTAAAATAATGATAATGTGCCACACATGAAGATGACGCAGATGAAGAGTGCATCGGCTTTCTAGGAATGCAGAAAAAAAAAAATGTGCTGTGGTATATAAGAACACATTTACTTTCTCACAGTTCTAAAGGACTGAATTCAAGGACTTGGCACTTTCTGGTGACTCTTGGCATAATAAGTAATGCACATAACGTTGTAGCATTTTGTTTGCTGATGTTTGACTTGTGACAGGGTATCTGACATCTGTCTGCATTTTCACACAAACTTCTTCTAAAGACAGTGTCTTTTAGAGTTATCATTAGATTTACAGCTGCCTTCAATCCAGGCTCACCTCTTCTCAAGATCCTTAGTTTAATTACATCTGCAACGACTCCATTTCCAAATAAAGTCAAGTTCACAGGCACTAGGACAAGCTTTTTGGGTAACATAATTTTGCATTACAGAGTTAACGGGGGGGGGGGAGAGTCACACATATGGTCATACCTGAATTCAGGTTCCAAAAAATTAGATGCAGTGTCCAAGCAAGTAATTAGATCTAGGGAAAAAATAAATAAATAAAACTTAATTCAATAATACAAAGATTTCCTTAACTAAAACAGTTAAGTATTTAAGAATCTCAAACCCTACTGTTCTAAAGTTTAAAATCTCAACAACATACCAAGGTGTTAATAACAATTCTTTAAAGATTTTTAATAACTGTATTTTCTTTCTTACTTCAAGTATGTTGATTTTTGAGGCTTTACGTTCCCCAACACTGACAGGAAACCACTTTGGAGTGCAGTATCATATGCAAAGGTGAAATGTCAGAAAGTGAAATGTATAACCTTAAGATATATTCTTAACTATAGTTGTAAAAATGAAAAGAATAATATTTCTCAGAAACTTAACAGCCATTAAAATTCTTGTAGCAACAGCAATGTCGTTGTTTTATGTCTTCAAGTGGCTTGAGACTCCTATGAACCTATGTACAACAGCCCTAAACCCTGTCTATCCTGTGGCAACCTTACTGTCTCCGACGCACCTACTCCTATTACCCCAGTGACTGAATCAATCCATTTCATCAAGGGTCTTCCTCTCCTGCCCTGTCCCTCCACCCTCCCAAGCATGATGTCCCAAGGACTGATCCTGCCTTGCAACATGTCCAAAGTATGTCAGATGAAGCTTCAGAACCCTTGCCTCCAAGGACCAGCCTGGTTTAATACTCTCCAGGATGAATCTGTTTGTTTTCTTAGCAGTTCATGGTATATTCAATATTCTTCTCCAGCACCAAAGCTTAAAGGCATCAACTCTCCTTCTATCATCCCCAGTCACTGTCCAGTCCTCTGATGCATAGCAAGTGATTGATCGTCATGCCCTGTATCAGGCACACCTTAATCTCCAGAGTAACACCATTGCTCTTCAGCACGTGGGAGAGGTCTCTGACAGTAGACTTTCCCAACTCAATACATCTTTTAACTTCCTGGCTGCTGCTAACAAAAATGTTGACTGTGGAGCCAAATAAACTAAAGCTGTGAACAATCTCAATCTCTTCATCATCCATCATGATGTTGCCAATCGGCCCAGTGATGAGAATCTTTGTTTTCTTGATGTTGAGCTTCAATCCATATTGAAGGCTGCAGTCCTTGACCTTCTGCAGCAAGTGCTTCAGGTCCTCCTCAGTTTCAGCAAGCAGGGTTGTGTCTGTCATCTGCATAACACAAGTTGTCGATGAGTCTTCCTCCAATCCTGAAGCACATTTCTCCTCATAGAGCTCAGCCTCTCAGATAATCTATTCTGCATGATAGATTGAAAAGGTATGGAGATAGGACAAATCCCTGGCATACACTCTTCCCAATTCTGAACCATGCCGTTTTCCCTTGCTCTGTTCTGAAGTCTGCCTCTTAGTTCAAGGATATTGTTGTTGTTATTGTTATGTGTCGTCAAGTTGCCTGCAACTCATAGTGACCCCATGTTCAACAGCCCTAAACCCTACTCTATCCTGTGCCAATCTCACTGTCTCCAACATACCTACCTCCATTACCCCAGTAACTGAATGTCAATGAGGGTCTTCCTCTCCTGCACTGTCCTCCCACCCTCCCAAGCATGATGTCTCTTTCCAAGGACTGGTCCCTCCTTGCAACATGAACAAGGACAGATTTTGCATAAGCACAATCAAGTGTTCTGGGATTCCCATTCTTCTTAGAGTTAGCCACCGTTTGTTGTGGTCCATACAATCATTGCATAGTCAATGAAACACAGACAGACATTCCTCTGCTACTCCCTGCTTTCAGCCAAGATCCATCTAACATTAGCTACAATATCCTTAGTACCACGACCTCTTCTAAATGCAGCCTGCACTTCTGACAGTTCTCTATTGATGTGCTGTTCCAGTTGTTTTTGGATAATCTTCAGCAGAATCTTTCTTGCATGTGATATTAACCAAAAAATATGTTTGGTTGCACAGATTGATATGTATGTTTATATATGTGCAGATAAGCCACATAATGAATATGCAGGTGTATAGGTATGGCTGTGCAGAAATATCTATGCATGTTATATATATAATCATAAATAAAATAAACCACAGGTGGGATCAGTCTTTGGGGAGGAACATCATGCTTGGGAGGGTGGAGGGACAGCGCAGGAGAGGAAGACCCTCGGTGAGATGGGCTGATTCAGTGATTGGGGTAATGGGGGTAGATGTAGCAGAGACAGACTGGCACAGGATAGAGTAGTGTTTATGGTGGTTGTACACAGGGTTGCAATGAGTCGTGGGCAACTCGATGGTACATAACAATAACAAAGGGCATAATTTGGAATAGTTCTTAGATACAACCAAAGCATTTGTGGGGCTGGGTTCCTGGGCTTGAGAGCTTAATACCACAGTCATAGGAGGCAACTCAGCTGGTTGGCATAATGTAGGTGATACAGATAATTTTGTACATTCTAGTTTGGTGAAAGAGAGCTCTGGTAGCCTGGTTGTAAGGAGCTGTGTTGCTAAGCAGTTCATGGGTCAAGCCCCACCAGCTGCTCCAATGGAGAAAGATGAGCAATCTCCTCCCAAGTGATTTACAGCCTCTGAAGACCCCCTAGTGTATCAGCTATGAGTCAATTCTGACTCAGTAGCCCACAACAAAAGCAATAATAACACTGGTGAACAGAATTTGTGGTATGGTATTTGTGGTCTTAAGAGCTTTTAAGAGGCAGTTATTAGTCTCTGTCAACTGAAAAAAGAAGAAAACGAAAACCAAAGACTCAAAGAAGAAACTAATCTACAAAGCTGCATGAACCTAATTTGAGATCAGAACTAAATGACGCCTGGATACCACTAATGACCATTCCAACCAGGGCCATAATAGATAGTCTCTTAATGGGGGGAAATGTAGAATAAAACTCAAATTACTATTAAGACACCTGACTTAAAATACCAGTAGAAACTAGAGGAAATCTCAAAACTACTGTCCGGGAACCCTTTAAACTTGGAACTCAAACCACTTCCAGAAGTCACCTATCAGTCAAGACAGATTGGCTCATAAAATAAAATTGTTTAGTACTGTGCTTCTCAAAACAATCATTTAAATGAGACCTACTGATGAACATTTACCATGAGCAAAGATGAGGAGGTAAGAGACACAAGATAGAGAAATTAGTAGAAACAGAAAAACTAGAATGGAAGTAATGAAAATGCTAACACACTGTGGAACGTGTAACCAACATCACTGAATGGTAAGTATAAAAATTATTAAATGATAACTTCTTTTACAATTTTTTCCAAAAAACACAATAAACCATCCAAAGAAGAAAAAAGAACCACAAATTCTTTAGCTCCGTTTAAACTTTGTGCATCAGAACCAACATCTGTGTTCAAAAGTCTTTCAAATGACTCTAATACACATCAAAATTAGAGAAACACTTTTCTAAACAAGATAGAACTTTTAAAATTTAACATTTTTCTACACAGAAATAAGTAAATTCAAGTAAACAAAACCTCCTTCTAATTAAGACTTAGTTCACAGACTGTAGGTTTTGGTTAAAAAATTTAGTGGTTTTCCTCTGCCCTTAGGATGGAAATCAAATTTCTCAACAAAGCCTAAAAGGTCTGGAAGATCTGGTCCTACCTCACTCTGCAATCTTGTCTTACAGAGGCTTGGGCTTTTCGCTACAGTAACCTTTGTCCCTTTAACTTGAGTTGCTCTCTTAGCCTTCAGACATTCTGCAGTGCTTCTCAGCCTGGCTAACTTCTAAGATCTCAGGGGAGCTTACTAAGGCAAACCCCTTTAGCACACAGCAGGCATTTAAATTGTGCTTTTTAATGAGATAATGACTACTGCAGGATGTCCCCCATCCTTCACAACATAATCAAGTGATTAGTATTCTGCTTCCTTTTGGGGTTTAGCAATATGTAAAGCACAAAATGTGGTAGCATAAAATTTGCTGATGTTATAATTTCCATATGTTCATCAATAAATGTTCAAGGATCAGAATTATATATATAAAATAAAAGGCAATTAAAAAAACCCACTTTCGTCAGTACCAACTTGCATATGAGTCTTCAGAACTTAATACTATCGTAAGTCATGGACTACTTCTCTATAATCTCATAGTACCAAGTGTTATGAACATATGCTTTGGTGCAGTGTCATAGTGTTCAATCCACAGACAAACATGAGGTTGCTTGCCCTGACCTTTGTATCAGTAGCTGCAGTTACAGCATCTGGAAGCTTTATTGAAAAAGTTTACTTGCTAAGCCAAGGAAATTTTTTTAAAAAGAAACTGATTTCACCTAAAAGTGCCTGCTAAATAACTATGTAGGGGGCACTTAGCATATACTATGTTCCTAGTACATGGGATGTACTCAAATGTAAATGAAATCATTAACAATTATAGTGAACACAAGATAATCATACTACTTTACAATTCTGAAAAAACTGTGTGTTTACTATTAAAATGATGTATTTCTTGAAAAAACTTGTGCATAAACTGTGGCATGCCAACAGGAAAACAGTATTTTTTGAGTAATTTATATGGACTATTGTTGCTATTAAAGGCCACTAAATCAACTATCACTCTCAGTGATCCTCTGAATAACAGATCAGAACCTTACCCTATCCCGTGTCACATTCATGATCTCCACAGCATAGGTTCAGATTTTGCATGCATGCTGGACAATAAGGAACAAAGACCAAAGGAGAATTAATGCTTGTGAATTGTGGTGATGGTGAAGAACACTGATGATATCGTGGATTGCCAGGAGAAATGAATACTTCTATGTTGGAAAAAGTATAATCAGAATGCTCTTAAGATGGGAGGATGGGGAGATTTTTGTCTCATGAAATCTGGGAATGTCATCAGTGATGCCAGTCCTTAGAGAAGGGCATTATGTTTGACAAAACAGAGGGTCACTGGGAAAGAAGATTGCAATGAAATAAATTTATACAGTGGCTACAAAAATGAGTTCAAAGCTTGCAGTAACTGTGAGGTAGTATTTTGTTCTGCTGTGTTTAGGGTCACTGGGAATTGGGAAAAACCCTCATCATTGGACCAATAAGCAAAATA